ACAGAGCAACCCTGCAGGCCAGGCCATAGCCACCAAGGCAGGAATTATTAACACAAAGGGCAGCCCTTAGTAGAGCCTATTCAGAGCTCTTTTCCAACTTCATTACAATTCTCCCCAAAGCACCTGAACCTGCTTCTGGACAATTGTCTTCTAATCCACATCTTTCAGCTTCCTACTGTTCTGTGGCTGTCAGCCACCTTCCTCCCTTAGCCAGCCCAGGCTTGCTCAATGGGCTCGTGAACAAAGAAGCCATGGTGGCAGGGATGGACACTACGAATTGGGCTCAACAGTAGATTCTCCCTCACCTAAACTGAAAAACTGGCCTGGCTATTACCTCTACTGAGTGCCTAATTTGCCAGCAGCAGTCATCAACACTAAGCCCCTCTACAGCTCCTTCCTTCAAAGAGTCAGGCTAGGGGCATATGGATTACTCCTATATGTTGTGGGAGGCAGCAAACACTGCCTCCAACTAAGAAATCCATTTGGAAGGAGACACTTTGGTGATCTGTCTATAGGAGGAGCAAGAATTGGTGAAGAGGAACATGTGTGGCCACAACATGTACTCACCCCCTCACGCAATCACATAGGCACTCAGAGGACACTCAGGGGCTCCCATGCATGCCTAAGAACATACTAACACATAAGCATGTATACACACTGCACATGACAAGCATTCCCACAGACCCCTCAGGTACACAAACACATAGGTACCCAGATGCCAGTGAACATACATATAGAGCTTGGACACCTCTGCAGCGGCATAACCTTTGGCATGTACCGATCTCCTCAAGTTTATACACTGAACTAGGCCCCCAAAGCTCACTGAAACCCACCTCCCACCCAGTTGCTCTGTTATTATTGCCAGACTCCCTTAGGTATATCTCCATCTTATCTAGAGTGCCAGAGGGGATTGGAGGCTGAGGCTGTGAAGACCACAGTCATCTCCTTAAGATGGGGCCAACTTTATGGCATATCTCCTACAGCCAGGAACCCCGCCTGCTCCCACATTCCACCCATTAAGAAGTTGGACCTCCCCCTCTCCGAATCACTTCCTCCCTGGATGGTGGTCCTAGGCTGACAACTGGCAAATGAGGAAGCCCCACTGTGGGCAGACATGGGAGAGGACAGGTTGTGCTTTGAGTCTTCTCTCAACTGAGTCTATTTTCCTATTAGGCATATGTTGCATTGAAAAAAAAAAAAACACTAGTATAAAACAGGAATTTGGAAACTTTTTTTAGGCCCAGTACTACCATTTACAAGCTGTATGACCTTGGGAAAACTGCCCCCAACTAAGCCTCAGTTTCCCCATCTATAAAATGGCCCTCTACGCTCTAGAAGTGTCAGGAATTATTCTTCAGCAAAACAAACTTATCTGGAACAAGACTCATTACAAGAAGAAAACTAACCCATGTCCAACTGTTTGCTACATGTTGTTCTCAAAACTGTTTTCTTAACCCTGTTTTAATGCATGCCCAATATCTCAAAGTTTAGGCTAGAACTTCCCACACTGGACCAGAGGCTCTCTGAGATAGGATCATGTCTCCCCCATCAAACTTCCCTTGCAGAAGAAGTTCCAAGTTTCCCTCCTTGGAAAAGCAAGAGTCAAAGCAGGGTCAGGATGGCCACCAGGAAAGAAAACCTTGGAGTCTCTGTCCTGGGGACTATTAGGCACCTGCTGAGCCTCAAGCCCACAGTTTCCTCTCTTCTGACCCTCCCAATTTCTCTCAGTTGTGTAAGACCTCTCTCCTCCCTATTTCTCCCGACTTCTTCCCCAATGATCTAGTTGCCCAGGTCCCACCTCTCCTGAATCCCTCCAGTCCACCCCTCCCTGCCTCAGTGCTTCCTGCTTCTGCACTCACCAGCCCCTGGGCCAAGGACAGAGAACAGCAACAGCAGCAATAAGGCTGGCGGCAGCTGGAGCCCAGACCTGAGTCGAGGCTGGGAGAGGGGCAGGGTATGAGAGAGGGGGGTGGGTAGTGGGAGAGACTTGGGTAAACACAGAGATGAGGGCAAAGGCTGAGATAATGGGTTGGGCTGTGCTGGGCACTGGGGCTTGAACAAGGGCAGGGAATGGGATTGAAGGAGGGGCTGTAACGGGGACTGGGGCAAGGGCAGGGTTTGGGCCCCGGGTTTAAGCAAACATTGGGAATGGGGTTGGGACAGGGTTTCGGCGGGGATTTGTGACAGGAGGTGGAACAAGGGCAGAGGAGGGGTTGGGGGCCAGGACAGGCACAGGGACTGGGACTGAAGGGGGGGCCTGGGTTGGGATTCGGATCTGGGCGTTCGCTGGGACCCAGGCCGGGCCAGGGGCCGATCTGGAAAGCGGGGCGAGGGCGGGGCTGGGGGCCAAGGGCTGGATGAGGATAGGACGAGGGGCCGGGACCAGGGCTGGGCCATGGCCCGGGGCGGGGGCGGGGCCGGAGAGGCCAGCGCGGCGTGCGCGCAGAGCTGACCCACGGCTCCGCTCCCCACCCCCAGGGGGGTGGCTTTCGGTGTCCTCGTGGGCCCGGGGTCGGGGTCAGGCCGGCTAAGGCCGGGCCGGGGACCTGGGTAGGAGTTCAGGCCTGGGCGACTCCGGGCTGCGCTGGACCGGCGATAACCAGGCCCCGCGGCGGCGGCCTCTGTCTGACGTAGTTATGACGCTCCGCCCATCTATCAGCTCGATTGGTTCTTGCCAGTAAAGCCCACCCCCTGCCCTATTCTATTGGTCTCCAACTTGATTCTGCGGGCCGAGGACAGACTCCGCCCCAGCCCCAGCTCCTTGATCCCCTGCCTTTCTCACCCCAACCTCGGAAACCCGATGCTAACCTCAGATCCTCACAGCCCCCACTGATAGAGCCACACACATCTCATAGGAAACCTACAGAGACCCTCACAAACCCAGACACCTACGGACGTCCCCATAGACGTCCGCAGACTACCCACTCTCACAGAGATCCCGCAAAACCCCTTTAAAAGTGAGCCCTCTAGGCTCGTCCCCTCTGGGTCCAATGCAGCCTCATCTGGAAACCAGTGCTGTTGCCACGGAGACTCCTGGGCGTTCTGGTTGCCCTGGTGACGGATCCCTCCTCTCCCGGCTGGGGTTCCAGAGGTTTCAGTCAAGCTCCTCCCTCATCGGCCGCGGAACCCCTCGTCCCTTCCCCTCCCACCCTCCCCCAGATCTGGCCAGAGTTCCTTTGCGAATTTCTGCAGGTGTCCAACTTCCCTCCCCAAGTGGTAGACTTGAAGGCAAGGCCTCTCATTACATAACAGCTGCAAGGCGAGTCTCATCCAAGAGCCTTCCATCCTCCCCTAACATTTCCCCTTCCCAGCTTCAGATGAGATCGTGACCTAAGGAAGGACTTGTAACAGCCAAGCCAAAGCCCAGAGGTATGTGGTTTCTCCAAAGGCTCCTCCTCTAAACTCTCATCCCATTTCGCTCCTAACACCTTCTGCCCCTTCCCACCTCACTCGAAACCCCTCCCATTCTCTACTTTTCATCCTTACACTCCCCCTCCACCACACTTCTCCGCCCAGTTCTCTCTTCCCCTTCTTTTTATTCTTCTCCTCCCATCCTTGGTTCTCCACCTTCAAGTATCTTTTTCCTCTTGCTGAATGTCTGGTCAGATTCCTATCATCCTACCTCTCTCCCTACTTCTTGTCCCAAACTTCCCCTTTGGAAAGACTCTAATGAATGTTAAGTAATGTGTTTAGCATCTCTGGAGCTTGGGGAGAAAGGGAGCACAAAAGGCTAAAGCTGGAATCCTTAGGCAGTGTTGCAAATAATGACAGGCCTTGAATGTCAGGGCCAAGAAATTTAGACTTAATCCTTAGGCTGAGACAATTGAGTGTTTTTAAGCAAAGGAATGCCATTGTTAGGTTTATATTTTTAAAGAAAGATCTCCATTGGGTCATTAAGGAGGACTGACTTCTTTTGGACATCCTTCCAAGACAAATTTGTCACACCCCACTCCACAGCATCCTGAGCTTACCCCAGCACACCACCAACTCATCTGTATTGTCGTTTTGGTTAACCTGGTCTCCTTCCCAGATTCTTTCAGCTGAGTCCAGTGCTTAGCACAGTGCCTGGGGAAAAGTGTAAGATTGGGTTGTTTATAAAAGTATAAGTTACATAAATCAATGAAAGAATGGCTGAGTGGATTAATATGCTGGAGGAGGCAGAGGGGTGAAGTTACTACATAATCCAGGTAGAAAATGATGAGAACTTAAACAAAATTAGAGAGAAAAGAAAGGAGAGAATGGATTTTGGGATTATTTAGAAGATAGGAAATAAGAGTCCTTGGTGCCTATTTGAAGATGAGGTTTGAGGGGAAATGGTAAGACCAAAATAATTCCCAGAGTTCAGCTTTCATGCCCTGTGGGACATCCATTTAGCAATGTCCAGCAAGCAGTTGGGTATGAGTGTTAAATACGGGGATTTAAAGAGGTCTGAACTGGAAATTCGGATTTAGGAATCATCCGCATACCACTGGAAGTAACTGAAGCCTTGAACATGAGTGACATCATCAAGGGAGGGTGTATGTGGTCCTAGACAAAACCAGACTGCAGTCAGGGCCCTGCCTAACGCATCATGGCATTGTCCTGCACTCTTAGGAGCAAACCCCCTCTTTGGCTTGGTATCCCAGTCTCTAGAACTCCACTGCCTGAACTCCATGGTCCTAAGGCCCAGGACCCTGCTCTTGGACTAACCAAGTTGCTATGTTTAGGCTCCCTCCTGGGTCACAGTCCTCTGCTACCATCTACTGACGGGATTCTGACTGCTTCAACCTTTCTGTCTTTAAGTTCCAGCTCCCTCACAATCCGTAGCCACATGTCACATGGGGTCTAGGCACACAGGTGAACCTCCTGGCACTATACCCTGACCCAAAGTTCATCTTGCTTCCTCCTTATATCTCAGGTGCCCTGAAAACCTTATCCTAATTCCATAACCCCCAGGGAACTCTGACTTGCAGACCCTCCAGTCCGAACCTAATGAAGCCTGTACCCTCTTCTACCACTAGATGGAAGCAGACAAGGTCACAGAAGCGCCTCATACCACCATGGAAACAGAGGAGCACTCCTCTTCAAAGGACCCCGTCGAGGACTCACAGGAGCCCCCTATCCCTGAAACAGCCTTTGAGCCTTCCATCTCTGAGACCCCTTTAGAGCCCCTTACCTCTGAAACCCTTTTGGAGCCTTCCATCTCTGAGACTCCCTTAGAGCCCCACACCTCTGAATCTCATCTAGTTCCATCCACTTCCCAGGCCCCTTTAGAGAACCATGCCTCAGAAACGTCTTTGAAACCTTCCATCTCTGAGACCCCTTTAGAGGCCCACACCTCTGAATCTCATCTGGTTCCATCCACTTCCCAGGCCCCTTTAGAGACCCACAACTCTGAAACTCCTTTGGAACCTTCCATCTCTGAGACCCCTTTAGAAGCCTACACCTCTGAATCTCATATGCTTCCATCCACTTCCCTGGCTCCTTTAGAGACCTACACCTCTGAATCCCTTTTGGAGCCCTCCATCTCTGAGACCCCTGTAGGATACTCTGAGATCCCTTTAGAAACCCTTATCCCTGAGACCCTGTTGGAAACTCACACCTTTAAGGTCCCAGAGAAACACCTTTCTTCTCCTACCTCATCACAAGACTATGTCGCTGTACCTTCCCCTGATACTCTGAAGGAAGACCTCTCTAAATATTCTCCCAGTGAGGTCTCATGGACAAGGAGGTCCATCCAGATCTCTGAGTCTGAGATCCTTCAAAAGCACTCCCTTTCAAGCCCTTCAGCCCCGGTCCACCTGGATACATCTGCAAAGGAAAAGGAAGAGGAAGGAGAAGACAAAGAGCAGGTGGATGCCACTGACAGCACCGCACACACAGCTCAGCCTGGACAACAGCTGGGCAAGAAGAAGAAGAGAGGAGTTAGCTGTAATTATGCCTGCAATTTTCCCCATTCTCATCACTGTCTTATACCTGCCCCAGGAGGAGGGGATTGGGTTACTCTTTAACCTGGCCCCTTCTCTTAGTTTTAGGGCCTCCTCACCTCCCCTTGGTTACTCAGCTTTTCCCTTCCCAGATTACACAGTCCACCCAGTGGTGCCTGCCAAGCAAGCAGAGCTGGTGGAAGTGGCTAAGGCAATGCCCAGAGAGAAGTTTGGTGCTCAGGTGAATTATCTTTTCCAATGGGAGAAGAATGCAGCCCTAAGTACCATCCAGACAGGTGAGCCCAGAAAGCCCTTCAGAAGCCTGTGACAGGCCCGTGGCCATCCTCCAATCCAACTGGATCGGGGAACCTGCCCTGATCAATGGATCACTGCCCCTTGTGGAAATGGCAATGTTAACTGCCTATAATCTAGGAGGGGAGAAGCCAGGTGGCCCAAAGTGGACAGCATGAGTACAGAAAAAAGTGGGGATATTCATATAAATCCCAGGTAGGGACAGGCAGCTAAACTAAAGTTGTTGAAAAAAAAAAAGAAGAAGAAGAAGAAGGGTCATAGGCCAGCCTCACATCTAGGGCTCTGAGAGCCTGCACCAAACCAACCTTAAGGCAGAGATGGCCCAGGACCCTAGACAGTCCAGGAGACTTGTGGCTCTGACATGGCAAAAGGCCTTGGTCCCCTTGGTGGAACTCCACTAAAAGGCTGTCACCCCGCATGCCAGACCATCATCACGTGGGTACCCAAAAGCTATGAGTCTCTTCACCAAAGAGAAGAGTCATATCTTCAAGCCCTACTGATTCCAAGTCTCAGCCCAGAATTAGTACTCTTGCCAGCCCCATTAGTGGCACACTATGCTTATCTGTGCCTGCATATAAAGGTGTGCAGATGTACTATGTAAACCTGTGCTGTCCGGTGCGAGCATGTGTACCTGTGTTGCTGAACTTCATGTCTATAGCAAATAACTTCAGAAAGCAGGCCACCCTGACCTGCTCTGCAGATTCTGGGGGTTTCTAAACTGGATTCAGTAGACATCAGTGCATTTACTTTTGTCTTTCATACTTCCTTTTCCCCTTATGATAGGAAGAGAGTTATGTTGAAACTAGATGGTCCTAAGATATAAAGACAACCAGGCAATCCTATGTCCTCCCTTCTCCATGCAATTTACTTTCCTCATTCTCAAGCTGGGACCCTTCCCCTCCACCCCTGGCCAAGAAAGTCATAATGATCTCATTTGTTTCTCAGTCTCAATTCAGGCATTTAAATGGCTTTGTTTGCTTATTTTAACATCTTCTGTCACTCTTATTCTTCCTGCAAATACAGGGTCATTCAGTCCCTGATCTCCTTCTCAGAACCTCCTGCCTGCTCCCCACTCTTCAAGGCTGCTATACTTCTTCACATGGAACTTCTTCATTTTCCTGTTTAAACGGGCAGTTTTATGTAGTAATTTAAGTGTCATTCAATCCTGAAAAAGGTACTTAGGGTTCCCTCCTAATATTGGGGATCTTGAGTCCCTAGAGAATCAGAATGTGTGCTGTGTAGAGAAGGATCAAATGTAAGCTTTTCTTTTATTTATTCAGCATTTATTGAGCACCAACTGTATGCCAGTCACTGAGCCAGATGTGGAGGCAGTGGCTGGTGGGATGTCAAAAAGAAAATCTCTCAAGTAATTTGTACTCTAATGAGAGACACCAATAAGTAAAAGGATAATTATAATTCATTCTAATTGCTATGATTGAGGTCAGCCCACAGTGCCACACAAGCAGAAAAAAAGGGCACCCAATCTTGGGGGCTCAGGGAATAAGCCTTGGAAGGGATGACTTCTCAGCTGAAATCTATAAGATGAATAAGAAGAGGTGGCCAGGTAAGAACTGGGATAAGGTGAGATCTGACAGGGCAAGGCACCAGTAGGAAAGTGCAAGAAATGTTGGACAGGGCTCAGCCCTGGAAGGGCAGAACTGTACAGGCATTTCTGTGCAAAGCTCAAGAGTTGGGATTATATCCTAAGGGTAGCTGAGAGTCACTAAAAGATTTTAAGTGGGACAATAACATGAACAAATTTGTGTTTTTGAAAGACTGCTCTGGCAGTATCGTAGACTAGAGAAAGATAAGACTGGACATAGGGGGGCGCCTGGGTGGCTCAGATGGTTGAGCGTCTGCCTTTGGCTCGGGTCATGATCCCAGGGTGCTGGGATCGAGTCCCGCATCAGGCTCCCTGCTCCTTGGGAGCCTGCTTCTCCCTCTGCTTCTCTCTCTCTCTCCCTCTCTCTCTCTCCCTCTGTCTCTCATGAATAAATAAATAAAATCTTTAAAAAAAAAAAAAAAAGACTGGACATAGGAAGACTACATTGGTCACTGGTAATAATAATCCAGGTAAGAAGTAGATGGGTGGAGGTGGAGAGAAATAGAACGTTCAAGAAATGTTAAGAAGGTGAAACTGACTTTTGGATCTTTGGATGTATAGGATAAGAGAGAAAGACATGCCTGGAATGACCTCTAGGTTTTTGGCTTAGAGACTGATTTGATGATGATAACCATTAATGAATGCCTAAAACAGAGTAGATGCATGAGAAGTATGTGTTGGATGAACAGAGGACAAAGGATGAGGGCCAGGTTTGAAAGGAATACTTGGCTGTACCACATTAGACGTGCTGGTGGAACATGGTGGTGAAAGAGTGTGGAGACAGCTAGCTATATGGGTCTGAAGCTCAGGAGAGAAGTCTGGACTGGAGACATCCTTCATGTAAAGACAGCTGTATGTTGTATGGAGATGTTCTAAGCAAAAATAGATGTTATCATGCAAATGTGATATATGACCATGGAATCGACTGTGTTGTACCCTGTCTGGTATTTTCAGAGTAAGCATCTGTACTGTAGACGCCTTTGCCACAAATAGGGTGCCACAAAATTAATTAACCATAAGGCAATTTGCCATAAAAGATTTTTTAAAAGATTTTAAAAAAAAGATAAACTAGTTGATAGTTTGGTTTGACAGTTTGTTTGCTTCATCAACTGGTTGACAGTTTGGTTTCATTTTTCTGTTGACACAGTACTCCCATTTTTATATTACATAGATCTTAGCCTTCATAATTGTCTACACAGTGACAGAGTTTTGAATCCACACAACTTCCCATACAACTTCGGAATGTCTATCGATGGACATGTGACAATCTGCCAAGAACAAACAGCAGTGTAGAAAGCTTTCACAACACAATACAAAGTTCAGTTACAAATATGTATCCTAGTATTTGGAAACTGATACCTCTCTTAATGAAGGAAGAAATTTTAGCAAAAAAAGAAAAAGTGTGATGCCAAACAAGGAGATGGAATCAACAAGCACAACAAAACAAAAACGTATAATACAATGAATGTAAGACTTTGAGGACAAGTGCTTAGGTACAATCCACAAAATAAAATCAGTTATTTGCACAGTATTGCCATGAATCTATTCTATACATTTTAAATTCATTTTAAATTCAGGGCGCCTGGGTGGCTCAGATGGTTGAGCGTCTGCCTTCGGCTCAGGTCATGATCCCAGGGTCCTGGGATCGAGTCCCGCATCGGGCTCCCAGCTCCTTGGGAGCCTGCTTCTCCCTCTGCTTCTCTCTCTCTCTGTCTCTCATGAATAAATAAATAAAATCTTTAAAAAAAATAAATTCATTTTAAATTCAAATATATTGCATTTTGCAATAAAGCCATTTTTAATTTTGATATTCATTTTCCATTTTTCATTATGTCCTTTTTAATGAATGCCCTTTTATTTTTCATAATTTTATCTTTTGTGGCAAAATTGCCTATGGCCAATTAATCATGCAGTGAAAATGTTTGCAGTGAAAATGCTTGAGGCAAAGATTCTTAAGGCGAAACTACGTAGAATCACCTTATACAGAGTCAAAATGGCATCCCAGATAATGTCTCCTCACCCTGCCGGTCCTTGTCCACTTATAACAGGAAGAGTGTTTGGAATCAGAGCAGAGAGAAGAGGCTCCCACTCTGGACTACATGGCCTGATGTCAGTTGTCCCACTTTAAGAGCACTGACACCTATAATGGAGTCTGAGGTATAGTTGCTAGTCTGTTTAAATTCTAGTCTTCATCTGAGAGCTGGACACTGACTCCCATATCAGTGCTTGGACTTGACTCTCCCAGGCCCTCAGGCAGGACCTTGATCTATGGGCACTGACCCTCGTTCACCTCCACACCTCATCTGCTCAGCCTGTCCTGCTGCTCTGGACAGAGTTCAGAATTCCTCCAGTGGAATTCTGGCCCCCACTCACCTCCATTGTGATTCTGCCTATTCTCTGCCCCTTCGACCAAGACTCGCTGGTGTAATGGGGCAGTGGCACTATAGGCTGTCAGTATCAAGACAGAAGTAGCAAAGCCAAAAGCCACATCTGGACAGGCTTTAGACCCTGAAAGACCATGGGTAAGGCAAGAAAACCTAGACTGACAATTAGGCACAGAATTGTGAATTGTGGCCCTGGCCAGAGTCAAAGACCAGAGGACACTAACTTCAGGGCTATGCCTGGAATACTGGGTCTCTCTTCCTTCCTGAAGGAATTTGCTCCTTCATTTCATCAGTCAAGGAGTCTGTGCTCTCTGGGCACCTATTTTGGCCAGGCCCTAAGCTAGGACTAGAGATATAGGCGAAAAGACAGACCCTTCCTTGGAGGAACTTACAGCTGAAGAGGAATACAAGTGGAAAGTCCATTCTGATGTACTCTACTGTGATAGGAGTAGCACAAGGAGTCAAAGAAAGAGAAGGGGCCCATAAACAGACAGAGGAAGTCAGGGACAACTTTTTGGTGGAGGTGACACCTCGCTGTAGCCTTTAAATGGGAATGGGTCCTACGGCCAAAGGTCCCACTCCATGATGACTCATCTAGGATTCGTGCCTAGAAGTTGGAGTACTCTCAGGTCTCCTGAAGGGTGAGAAAATCTGAGTGGGATGTGCTCTCTGGTTCTCCTCCCACATTTACATGGCTCCACCCTTGCCTTTTAGTAAGGCTAACCATGAAGCCAGTTTCAGATCCCACTGCTGAAACCAGGCTCTCAAGGGTTGTGGCATTTTGCTGGTGCCTGCTCTCAGGGATACTTCTTAGCCTCACAAGCTTCGATTTCTTGACCTTCACCACTCATGACTTCTGGCCTACCTCTTTCTCCTGATTCTTAGAGAACCATAGGCAGCCCTTCTCAAATTCATAGATAGCGTTAGTTCGGTAACACCAGGAACAAAGAAAGGAAATATGAAGGTGCAAACCTTGAAAAGTGAGGAAAGCCCTTCTCCTGGTCCCAGAGCTGCCCAACCTCCTCCTCCTCCGCCTCTGGTCCCGTCAACAACCATGCTTCTTAGGTGCCAGTCCTCACCATCTCTTCTACACCTGGCCAATCATCTTCCCTTCCCTCACCTTAGACACTTCAAGGAAACAAAACAAAGTTGGTTTCTAATGTGGGAAGGAGAGGAGATGGGAATCTTCACAGTCAGAGAACTTGGCGAGATTCGTGTTCATCTTCAAACAAAATTTCATTTATCATCTTGAAGACTGTCTTCAGTCATTTGTGACAGGCTAATAGAGATGGAGTGGATCCTGGGGTGGAAAAGGAACTGAAACACTTGTGGAACCCTGAGAAAACCTGGCGAGAAAATGTCTAAAGGGGTGGGGATGAGAACTCATGGGTGGAGGTGAACACACCTAGGGGGAGAGGTGAGAACGCCTTGGGTAGGAGGCTTAGGCTATTATTCCTTCTCACTTTTCCTTGTTAATCCCTCCACTCTCAGGTCTCTACATTGGCTGGCGCTGCCCCCATTACCTATGGGACTGTTTCCGGATTGGAGATGAGTCCAAATGCTTTTGTGGACACTTGTTGAAAGAGCACCAGATCATCTCGGGTAGGGAGAACTGACCAGCCCCTGCCAGTGGGGAGGGATAACTATACTGTGGCCATATGAGAGAAAGTGTGCATGTTGGTATGAGGGTTGGCACGGGAAGGCCAGGCCCTATTAGGTGTCAGTCTAATCCTACCATCTGTCCCCATTCCCACAGACATATCTGTGCCCTGCAGTGTGGGCCAGTGTCGCTGCCTCATGTTCTGCTTTATCCCATCACGCCCAGAGGAGGTGGGTGAGTTCTGGCTCAAAAGACGAGCTACCTTTGACCCCAAGGCCTGGAGGGCCCAATGTCGCTGCAAACACAGCCACGAAGACCATGCAGCTGCTGGGTCCCATCCCTGCAGGGTGAAAGGTAATTTGTAAGGTGAGGGGAGCACAGGGGTGGGCATGGGTAGGATGCAAATAGTTTGGGGATAAGGATAGGGGAACTGGTAGAAGAAACTCGCATTTGTGGTTGGTACGGAAGAGATGAGAATATAGGTAGCCCATGGGGAAGGCCCAATTCCCTATACTTGTCTTGGCTTCCTCCTTGCCCTAGGCTGTTGCTGCAACTGTTTTGAGTCTAATTTCCTCTGTGCGGCCTGTGACCGGCGCTGGGAGGAACACGAGACTTTCTTTGAGACTGAGGAGACCCGGCGACGAGGAGGGAGGCCTCATGGTGAGGGGGCAACCTAGAACGGGGCGGGGGGGGTCAAGGTCAGAAGGCCGGGCAGGAAGGTGCTCCCACCCTCAACCATCCCATCCAGGACTATCTCACCCTCTCACCTGCTGCACCCCATACTTGCCCTGGTTTCCACCCCCAGGAGCAGACTATGTGCCTTTTGCAGAGATGCCTACCCTCCGAGAAGCCATCGTCAGCAACTCTGACTCTGAGGCTCTACAGGAGCAGGGGCCCTCTGGCCGTCCTGGCTCCCACCCCAGACCCCCTGGGCCTCCTGGCCCACACAGCCTCTGGCCTGACCCTTTGTCTGACCCACATACCTGACCCTTTCACCTCTGCTTTTCCCTCCTCCAGGGACAGACAGTGTCAACACCTGGCGCAGGCCTCTTTGAACCTGGCTCAAATCAGCAATAAAAAGGAAGCCTCTGGAATCTGGCCTGGTTCTGTATGGGGCAAATAGATCCCAGCCCAGGGACAGACACCCTAGGACCTTAAAGTTGGCACCTAAAGAGGCCAAGAGAGAGCATCACACAGGAGACAGGCTGGATCAAGCCACCTGCCTCCATCAAACCCACATTCAAGATGCTAGCTCTGGCATCAGAAGGACAGAGTGGCTTCAAGCAAGCCAAGGAGGGAGGGGGTTTCCAGAAGGATAGAGTGAACACTGATGTTAGATGCAAGTGGGGACACCAGCAATAAAGACTGGAAAATGTCCACTGGATTTTATGATTAGGTCTTTGGGCACTTCAGATGATGTGGTTTCAGTGGTGCAGTGGAGGCAGAAACCAAACAGCAGAGTTTGTTTAGGAAACTTGGATGAAAAGAGCAGGAGAGAAGTCAGACAATACCCAGAGGGAGATGTGGAGTCAAGGAAGCATTTTTTAGGAGGGAAAAAAGGGGAGGAACCGGTAGAGAAAAAGATCTTGAAGGATGCGGGAGAGAGAGAGATGCCTGGTAAGACATCCCAGAGATGGAGGGAAGGAATGACGTCAGGGCAGAGGTGAAGGGATTTGCTCTGGACAGGAGAAGTACCACCCCCTAAGACCAAGAGGAAAGGAGAAAGAAAATGATGGGCCTTCACGGAGCTGCAGGAAGCAGGATCTTGTGGAAGTTCCCCTGTGAAGTAGGAGACAAGGTCAGTTGCTGGTCGTGAAGGAAAGGGGTAAGAGTGGGAAGTAGGAGACAGGAAGAGAGAGGAGAAGGTTTGGGAAGGCTAATGTGGGGAATCACAGAAAAACCTAATCGGTGGGTAGTTGAGGATTCGGGTACAGCTGGAAGCAGGAACCTAAAGAGGAAGAGAAACACAATAGTTAGATTGATGGTTGATGATGGGAGGGTGTCAGGGAGGATGATCAGGAAAAGAAAGCAAAACGAAGGCTTGAGAATGTGGAGAGAGCTGACCATACAAATGGAAAGAAAGTAAAGCCAGGAAGCAACTGACAAATTGAAAAAAAAGAACTAAGGAACAGAAGTCTCTAATGAGGTCCAGCAGCCAACGTAGCAGTGGGGATCAGCACTGGAGACGGCGGTCAGAACCTCCACAGAGCTGCAGCTCAGAGAGCAGCTGCCAGGTATCACAAAGGCATGGAGTAAAGAACTGTGGCCACGCAGCCGAAATCGGTGACTGTGGCCAAAATCAGTGAATCACAGTTATTTTTACGAGGAGTAGGAGATTCTGGCACTAATGGGCTCTGTGATCCTAGGCAAGTCACTCTCCGGGCTTCAGTTTCTGGCTCTGTACAAGAATAATCTCTGTGCTACCTGCTCTCCCTGAGAACCCAAAGAAATAACCAGTTTCAAAGTGCTTTGTCATCGTCTACCGTGCCCGGCCGGATTCCTTCCCCTTCCTAGATGCCAGCTCCTCTTATCTCTTGAGCTTCTCCAGAGCAGCTCTGTGTGGTCTCAGAGGCACCACAGAGAACTGCATGTAGCCTCTAGGGCACAGAAAAGGCCAGTCTACATTTCCCCACATTTGGGGAAGCTGTCTATACTTCCAAAGGAAGGGATGCAATCTGGATGGCTAGAACTCCTAAGGGGGAATCACAGGGTCAAATGTCTGCCCTTTGGAGGGAAAAAGGACTTTCTAACAATAATATGGCTATAGCAAAGATTGTTACTATCTCTGGAAGTAAAGAGTTGCTCTTGACTGGTGATATGCAATTAGCGCCATAATGACTGTTCATTAAAACTAATTCAATAGTCAACAATAAAGGAATAGTTACTGTGATAAACTCATTCAAATAAATAATATGCAGAGGGTGCCTGGGTGGCTTAGTCAGTTGGGCATCTACCTTGGGCTCAGGTTGTGACCTCCAGGTCCTGGGATGGAGCCCTACATGGCATCAGGGCTTTCGGCTCAGCAGGGAGTCGGCTTCTCTTTCTCTCTCCCTCTGCCCCATCCCACCGCTCATTCTCTCTTTCTCTCAAATACATAAAATCTTAAAAAATAAATAAATAAATAAAATGCAGACATTACAAAGTATATTTACATAGACTATGTAATAATATGGAAAATTGTAAGGAGCAGAATAAGAATATATATGCAATACATATGTATTACATATTATGAAAGCAAATGAAACACCAAATATTACTCATTCCACAATCATTGAGCACCTATGTCAAGGACCTGTGCTAAAAAAAAAACAAAAACAAAAAACCCTAAAGATACAGTGGTGGCTTTTGTCCTAAGTGTTAAATGTCATACTAAAACTTAGCTGAGTGAGAATATTAGCATTTTGTGACCCCCATTCCTTCTGTCAAAAATATACATTCCAGCAAAACGAAATATACTTCTTACCTAGCCCTGATGCATTTCCCTGGTCCTTCAAACCTGACGAACTAAAAATGCCAGGCGCAAGGCTAACTGCATCACACACCATTTCTGATAAGGAAAAAACACTGGATACCTACTGCTTTGCTTATTAGTCGTGCGGCAAAGACAGGACACTCCCGCCGCACCCCCGTTTAAAAAAGAAAGGAAAAAAAAAGGAAAAAAATGCCCTGAAAACAAACTGCAGAATCTTCCATCTTGGAGTAGGTACACAAGAACATAAACTAAGGAAGAACTGCCCTTAGATGAGTAAGTTAAAAATCTCTGAAATGCTCAAGGGGCTGAAATGCCCTTGTAGGGAAGAAGTTGGGTATCTATCTATCCCACCAGTTAAAGAAAGGACCCCGTCCCAGTTCACCTTCAGCCCCACCCGCCTGGCGCCCCCGCCCGGCCCTCCTCTGTGGCCTTGGCCTCCAGGGGTTGCGGATCTTCCCGGAGCCAGCCAGCGCCGAGCGCCCTCAGAACCCGCCCTCCTCCCGGCCAATGCCGGGAGACGGTCTACGACCTTAGGGGCTCGGTGCCACACCAGTGTGGTGCAGCAGAGCCAACTGGAGGAAAATCCCACCTCGGGTCTCTTAATCCTTCCAATGGAGTGAGACACTGTTGGCGAAACTACTTAGGGGGCCCAATGGCGAAGGAAACTTCACTCGGACCAGAAGTCGAAGCCAATGGAGTGGAACACTCGCCCTCCAGCCGGCAGAAGCCAATGGGATGAAAAGATTCCGCCTCCAGGGTGGCGGCGGAGCCAGAGTGGTGAACGGCGCCACCCTCTGGGCTAAAGGGCAGCAAGCGGGGGCCCAGGAGCGCGACCAATGGGATGGTAGGGCTCGCTCGCGGCCGCCGGCGGAGCCAATGGCTGCCGCTCGCCGGCTCCGTGGCAGCCCCACCTCGGGCTGGCTGCGGGGCCGGCGTACCGGCCCGGGGAGAGGTTCGGCGGCTGAGGGGCAAGATGGCGGCAGCCCCGGTGCTGGCTGCCGGGCTGCGCGTGGCGCGCAGGGCGGTGGCGGTGGCGGGGCCGCGGGGGGCACAGGTGAGAAGCGGCCGTAGGCGCGCGGAGGGCGGCCCTCGGGCTCGGCCGCCCTACGGGGTCGGGGGATAGGCGTTCCTACCCCAGGCGCGCGCGGCCCTGCGGCCTCGTGGGGACGGAGCCCCTCCCGAGGTGCAAGCTCCGGGGCTGTGCGGTGAGGTCGGGCTGGTGGGCGGCGGCAGCCTCTCGGCGGTGGCCGACGCCCTGCACCGCCTCGGGCGCCGAGGTCGCCACAGGGTCCGTGCATTGGCTGCTGCCTTCTAAGCCTACCTGAAGCCCAGCTGACCGAACGCCTGCTCCGGGCAGCCTCCTCAGCGCCCCCTGCAGGAAATGAGGTTTGTCTTCTCGGAGCCAGTCTCCAGCCTCTGTCAGGCCCCTGGCCTTCTGAGCACAAGTGTTAACCTCTCATCTTCCCCACTTGTCAGAGGGGTCAGGTTCATCCCAGCTCTTTCTTCCACAATGTGACAGCACTGACTTCAGCCTTCTCTAAGCCCCTGGGAAACTGGGGCTTCCCTACCCACAATCCCCTGGGGCTGGGGGTGCTGAGTTCACTTAATTCTTCCCTTCACTGATTTAAGGGACTGGAAGTAAAATTCACAGTAAGAGGTCGGATGTGACACCTAGACGTGCTGTGTCAAACCTGAATAAAACGAGTAACATAGCTTAAAGATCAGGCAACAAGTAATAGAAATTAGTGGAAACTCAGTAACAAGGTATGAGTAAATGGGAAGAGCTCCAGTCGTCTCAAAGGTGATACAGACCACGCCCTTTATTTTATATTTGAAGCCAAGAGGAGGGATTTATCTAAGGTAATTCGGTGGTAAAAGAAGAACTGGGACCTAAGTTTCCAGTTCTCATCCTGTGTCCTTTCCTCTGAACAGTAACTAAATTTACTAGACACATTAGGAACAGGAATCAATTGCACTGAGTCCTGCATTGTAATACAGCCTTTATCTAACCAAGCTCAGCACTATCTGACCCTACTCTCCACTGCTGATGCTCTGAAATTGAGGAACTTTTCTTTTGGATGAGAACCACAAATAGGTTCTTAGAAGGATGAAGTTAATGACTAACAGAGCCCAGCCTCTGCTAGCCCCGACTCACTCTACGGGAGAGGTAGTGTCAGCCCCCTCCCTTGGGTATGTCTGACCCACCTTCAGGTCCGAGGAGCTGCAGGTGTGACTGATGGAAATGAAGTGGCCAAGGCCCAGCAGACAGCTCCTAGGGGAGCAGCCCCAACTGTCTTCTCCCGGATCCTGGATCGAAGTCTCCCAGCTGACATTCTATATGAGGACCAGCAGGTGGGGTGCCCTTAGGACTCATCCCCTTAGGAACTTCTGAGATACCATCAGCCTGTTGAAGTAACATGGTGGCCTCTGGCCTGTCACTACTCCCAGTGTCTCGTATTCCGTGATGTGGCCCCTCAAGCTCCTGTGCACTTCCTGGTCATTCCTAAGAAGCCCATTCCTCGGATTAGCCAGGCTGAAGAAGAGGACCAGCAGGTGGGAAGACCAGGGCCAAGGTTTGGCTTCGGGGGGTGCAGCTAGAGGTTTTGCTCCCTGTGAATGAAGCCACCTGTCTCCAACCCCTTTCCCTGTAGCTTTTAGGACACCTTCTCCTTGTGGCCAAGAAGACAGCAAAGGCTGAGGGCCTGGGAGATGGATACCGACTTGGTGAGTGACTTTTGGCCCTTGAGCCCCTCACGTATAAATTCTCAAAACTACCCCTCAATATGATCTTTAATCTTTGACCTTTTCCATGATCCTGACCCCCTAACCCCAAGCTCTGTTTCAGTGATCAATGATGGGAAGCTGGGCGCACAGTCTGTGTATCATCTGCACATTCACGTACTTGGGGGCCGACAGCTCCAGTGGCCTCCAGGTTGAACCTACCAACTGACCAAGAACCCCAGACCTGGATGCTTGGAGGGTGGGGGGAAAGGGACCCTATGATGCTAATAAACTTGCTCTCCCTCGATTTTGGATCACTGTCTTAAATATATAAAGATACCACAGATAGGAAAGAAAACTGATTAAAGATAATCATCTCTCTTGACTATGGTCTGAGTGAGAGACATTAAGGAGGCCCACCATGAAGTTAAAGAAGCATTTGCCTATAGATCTGTGAGTCCTCATGACTAATGGTCCACCTGGATCAAGCTTCTAGAAAAGTAGCAGTAGGAATAAGCTTGTGTGAGTAGGAAGAGACTGAAACCCAGGAGTGAGACTTGCTCAGTCCTGGCACTCACTCAGATGCCAAGCCAAGTGCTAAGGGAGTCTGAGAGGAGGATGGTCAATGTGAGGGCCTTTTACTGACGGAGAAGTAATCACGCCAAAAAAGGCCTCTAGCCTTTGACAGATCCCCAGGTCTCACCATTTTGCTTTTGAGTTGTTTGATGTATTTTCAACCTTAAACATTTTAAAAAGACTCCCTCCACTTTTGAGAATGAACTAAGGAGAAGTTACTGTTGCCCCTACACAAGCACACCAAGTATGCTTTACTCTGATACCCCAGCCCTGTGCTTGTCTCCAACACAACCACCTTGGAAAGCCTCAAAAGAACCATGCTTAAGCGTAGAAGGCAGGGCCCTAGGCCAACGGAACCTTAAAAGCTGGGCTGAGGCGGAACGGAGTCTGAACGGAAAGCAAACGTCCCAGACAGCGGCAGGTCGAAGACTTCCGCCCCGCAGGGAATCTGCCTCCACCCCCACCCAACACTTCCGCCCAACTCTAGTTCTGCGCAGTCTCCTGGAATTATTTGCCGTCCCTATGGCAACCCGGTAGCTGGTTCCTGAAGATGGAGACCACCGAGTCTACCAAGGGATCGCGGTCTCGGTGAGAGCGACAGCTTTGGCTGCAGGTGTAAACAAGAAGGGTCAGCGGACTTACTGGGCTGCGCTTTTGACGACTTTGACGCATTCGCTTTCTTTTAGATCTTTGGACATACAGCCTGATGCTGGAGGGCTCCCGTCGGCTTCAGAACCGTTTCCTTCGGATGGCCGTCCTGGGTCGGTCCTGGCAGCCGCCACCACTGCAGCTGCAGCCGCCTCCACCGCCCAAACCGATGCGTTATCTACGAAGACCCTAGCGCGCTACTCTGAGCCGAGCGTTCTCCTGGACCGCTCCTCTGACAGTCTTGCTGGGGAGCCCTGCACTGGAGCCGGCTTTACCCACAAGACAGGCCATAGGAGACTTGGCTTTGAGCCTGTCTATGTTTCCCGTTTCACCCAGGATCCCTGTACTACAAATGACCTTAGCTCTAGTCCTGGCCCTGTTCCTGGCTCCGGTTCTGGTCCTGGCCATGGCTGTGGCCCTGGCTGTGACTCTGGTGGAGGTACTGGTCCTGGTTCTGGCCCTGGTCCTGCCACTGACTCTGGGCCTAGTCCAGACGGTGGCCATGACCCTGAGCTCAGCCCCTCCAATCTCCCAAGCTTCAGAAACCTCAGGGCAAAGCTGACCCCTAATTATGCCTCCTGGAATCACTACTGCCACTGGGAACCTCGGAAACAACCCTGGAAATTTTTGCAAGTCTCAGAACCTGGTGCTCGAGGGCAATGGAAGACCCCCCAGGTTGAAGGGAACTGTAAGGTTCTCAGTGAAACATTGCCTCGGGGCCACTGCCTTCTCTACAACTGGGAGGAGGAGGTATGAAGGTTTTAACCTGCTCCCTTTTCCTGAAGACTGCCCCCAGTTTCCTGGGGGAGGCAGTAGTTTATGATGAGGGTGGGTACCATATAGGATATCACTCAACTTGGGGCCCACAGAGAGCCACCAACCACCTGGATCAAGTTCCAAGTATGCAGGATGGCTCTGAGAGTTTCTTCTTCCGACATGGACACCAGGGACTGCTGACCCTGCAGCTACAGTCACCCATGTCCTTCAGCACCACCCAGAAAGACTCATACCAGCCCCCACGAAACTACTATCAGCCAATTCAAGGTGGGAAGCATGAGAGAACGGGCCAGCATGAGCCTATTAGAGAAAAGAGAGAGGAAGGAATTTCTAGTAGGACTATGGATTGTCCAATGGGTATAAGGGTAAAACCCCATGATTTTCCTTCCTTTTCTCACATTTTTTTCTTCTGGGCCTGCTTCTTAACCAGACTCCCCCACTCTCTCCCCTCCCTGCCCTCCCACAGGAAAGCGTGAAGCCATGATGGAGGTGCTCCTGCGCCATCAGATCTGGTGAGAGGCTGGGGGAAGGGTAAAGGGGAGGGGGAAGACAAAAATCTGGGAAGAATGGCTCTGATGCCCCCCAGGACTGTATAGTAAAGAGGTGCAGGCAGAGCAGGAACCCACAAGGAATCACTTTGAGGTCGAGTCTGTGACACACCATGACTACCGAAAGGAGCTGGTACATGCCGGGCCTCCTGCCCCAACCAAGGTGAGAGCTTATCCCATCCCACTTATACAGCTGGGCTCTAATGGGCTGTGGGAAAGTAGCAGAGGTTAGGAGAGGGAGATTCAAACCAGGAGCTTTTCGGGTTTTCTCCCTTACAGCCTCACGACTACCGTCAGGAGCAGCCTGAAACCTTCTGGATGCAGAGGGCACCACAGCTACCGGTGTGTGAGGGTGTTGGGAGTGGGCGGGGGGGGGGGTGAAGAAGGCGAGGAAGAGGCTGTTCGGTTGCAGCTTGGCGCAGAGCAGGGTCTGTGCTCATTCTGGCCCTCCTCCAGGGTGTCAGTAACATCAAGACACTGGACACGCCATTCCGGAAGAACTGCAGTTTCTCGACACCAGTGCCTTTGTCTCTGGGGCAGCCTTTGCCCTATGAACCTGAGAGTTATTCCCACCAACTGGGAGAAATATCTTCCCTTGCCTGTCAGGGAGAACAGGGTGGTGAAATGCGTAGAACCACTATCTGAGGACTGAGGAGGGAAGAGGGATGTGGAATATGGAATCTATTTCCATCTGTACTGGAGAGGTGGGAAGGAAGTACCTTCTGTCTGTACTTGGTGAAGGGGCTTTCCATAAAGGGTTCTCTCTTGTCCTGAGATTGCAATTTCAGTGATTCTAGGCGTTACCATGTTCACACCCCATCACCTTTCCTTGGACTTGCCCCTAACCCAGACTCTAACACCATGACATTTTTTGTTGTTTTATATTTGGCCAAAATATTCTGGTTTAGATACAGGTATTTACAGAAGGTAAGGAAGAAGGGGACCAGGCCAGAGCGAGGCAGGTATATGTACAAGGCTGAGCTGCAAAGAGCAACACTTCCATATAAGGTCGGGGTTTTGTGCACGTTGCTTTCCATCTTACATGACAATGTCCATTTCTGGTGTGTGGAGAGATGGTGACCACCCAGGTCCCAGCAGCAGGAAACTGTCTGATTTGGGAAGAAGTAGGGTTTACAGGAGTCCAGGGGGTCCTTTCTGCTCTCCTAGGAGCCAGTAAGTTCGCATCTTTCCTTTTCCCTAGAAGTGGGGGAGTGAAGATAATTCAAATTCTTTGATGTTATTCTCTTTATCTCTCTTTTTTCCCCATGGACCCCATAATTGCTTTCATCCTCCCTTTCCATGACCCCTCCCCATGGCCTGCCATCACCTTCATCTCCACATCCCCCCGAAGCTCTAGCTGGAAGCATCCTAGCTCATCCAGGGCATCCTTGGTGGTAGAGGAGACATGGATCTTCAGGGCTGGGGGTGGGATGAGGTTGCAGGGATGGTGGGAAGATGAATCAAAGAAAAGACAACAGAAGAATTGGCGGTATCGGAGAGAGCTTTACCAAACCACCACCCCTCAGGAGGCTCTCAGTCTTCCCAGGGCATGCACTAGAACCAAAATATGTCCAAGGATGGGGCAGTCAGGAACTGTGGTCTCTCAGATTGAGAGATTTGGAGGAACTCTGAAAAGAAGAAAAGGACAACACACATTGAGGCTGAGGCTGGGGTTGAGGGCTAATGTTTTACCTTGACCGTTAGACTCCATGCGGGAAGCAGTGTTCACCGTGTCTCCGAAGAGACAATAACGGGGCATCTTCAGGCCAACAACCCCAGCACAGACGGGCCCTAGGAGAAGAAACAGGTTGGGAGAGCCTGGGAAAAGCAGACACGAGGGCTGGAGTGAGAGTCAGCCTTACCCGTGTGGACCCCTATGCGTAGCCTCAGCTGGTCATGGGGTCGGTGGCGGATGCGGAAGGAAGAAACTGCATCCAGTAATGCTAGGGCCATACGAGCAATTTCTGGGGCATGGCGTTGACCATTTCGGCCTGGGAGGCCAGACACCACCATGTAGGCGTCTCCAATCGTTTCTACCTGATTGAGATGGGGATGAAAATGTCACCTCTATGTGGATCAGTGGGAATGGGGAAGCATAGAAGGAGATGAGCTGAACACCACTATGAGTCATCCTAACAGCCTGGGAGGCCAGAACATTGACTAGAAAGTAAGTGCCATGGTCCTGAGAACTGGCAGAGGGGGGGAAGCGGGAGAGGTGCAGTTAAGGGAATCTTTAAATCCTCCCACCCCACCCCTGTACCTGGCGAACACTCAGTAAACGTTTGCTGAATGAATGGATACCCTGTCTACAACAACACATGGACAAAGAGGTTCTGCTGTCAGGAAATGGGAAGCAAGAAAACAGGGCTGACCTGAAGAGCACAGAGGCTAGTGAGGAGGGCAGGCAGGCCCATTGGACTAGGCCTCAGACAGCCTGAACTGTGCAAGGTAAGAAAGCAACCGCTTGGCTTTGTTAATTGTGCTGAAGCTATACAAAAGAATGGCCTATTTTTAGGAACCAGACACTGAACCGTTTAGGGATAAAGGGGCACACCGTGCCTGCAACTTACTCTCAAATAGTCCAGAAAATAATTACATAGATATATAAATTTTTTTTAAATAAAGCAAGTGGGGTAAAATATAAATAACTGGTGAATCTGGTAAAGGGTTTATGGGAGTTCTATGTTATAGTAATAACAGACACGGTAGAGTAAGTCCAAAGGAAAGAGACAGGAATAGTGTTATCTGTGCAATGTGCACTTTACACAATAAATCTATTATTCCCAACTTATAGGTAAAATATCTGAGGTTCAAGGAGCTTTCCAGTTACTTGCCCAAGGCCACACAATTAGTCACAAAATCAACACCTAAATCCCAATGGTTTTTACTCTGAAGTACAATAAAGCCCACTCTGTGCCAACTCAGTGACGTAACAAAAAGGTAGCATGTCCCTCACCCTAATAAATCATTCTGTACCTACATCCCATATGATTCTTCCATGTCTAGAAGGGATGGAGAGATGAGAAAAGATGGATAGGCTGTGTTTATACTCCTAGGCAAAAAGTGGTGGATAGGGGCTAAATCCTGTGATGGTTCTGATTACGGCAGCCTAAGATTCACAAGAAATCAGACTGAAAGATACAATAAGAGTGCCAGAGCCTCATTTGTCTACAAAGGGACCCCAGTACTAGGGTGCTGGAGACCCAGGAGGGCAAACTGACCATCAAGCGGGGTAAGGCATGTAGGGTTCAGGGAGATTGGGTTTTCAAGGTGGTCTCAGGAGAAGGATAGCCCCAGCTCTCACCTTGTAGACGTCAAAGTTGTCAATTATGGCGTCAAAGCAGGTATACAGGTCATTGAGAAGTGTCACCACCTAACAAGGATGGGAAAGTAGAGCCCCTGAGACTTGAGCCTAACTTTCTAAGAATTCTTAACCCATAAACCCTAACAAAATATGGGAACTCCAGAACAAATGAATCTCCCCTACTATCAAGGCTCCCTATGCCCCAAAGAAGCTCCCCCAGATCCCTATCCCGCCCCCTACTTCTCACTTCTGGTTCTCACCTGCATGGGGGTGCTCTCTGCTGACAAAGCTGTGAAGCCAACAATGTCACTGAAGTAGATGGTAACACTGTCAAAGGCCTCAGCCTGTACAGTCTCTCCCCGTTTTAACTGCTCTGCCACTGAACTAGGAAGCAAGGGCCAAACTCAGAGAGAGAGGATGGGTGGAGGAGAGAGGAAAGGAGTGTATGGCTGGAGCAGAGATGCATTATAACATGAAAGCTAAGCCGGGTAGAAGAGAAGGAAGGTGACTGGGACTAGCTCAAGGTAAAGTACTTAAGTGGTGGGGGGTTGGGAGGGAACCCCTAGGGATGGGGGCTAAACGTCTCAAGTTGGGAGTGTTCTACATCCACCTGCTAGAGCAAAGGCATGGTAGAGCCGTGTCCTAAAAAGAAGGGTTGCGAAGCCAAGAAGAAGGCAGCATAGCTCATTCGGAGACAGAATGAAAACACACAGTCTACAGCCAGAAAGGCTCACTGTGTCAAGGTGAAACAAAACAGGGTTCTAAGAGTTGGGAGGTGAGTTCTCAGGAGCTTGATCTGGGAGAACCCAATAGAGTAGAATACTAAAGGAAAATCTGGGAAGGTGACCAAAGTCTCACTGGGGTAGAATTTGGTAGAGCAGAGCTTCAGCCTTGCGTTTCTCCTCCAGATAGGCCTGTGTGCGCTCCTCCACCAGCTTCTCCAGGTTATTGGCATACTGCTCCATGCGCAACAGCAGGTTGTCCAATATGCTCGTGCCGCCCTCCCTGGAGGGAGGCCAGGATATGGTACCTGCTCCCAGACTCTCAAGACTCCCAGGACTTCCTACCCAACCCACCCTCTTGGCCCCACCAGCCCCACCTCATCCACCAAGACTGAGAGCCCCCACCCCTTAGTGCCCTCTCACTTGTTAAAGCGGCGAATGAAGCCCTTAATTTGTCCAAAGTCTGGCCGCTCAGCTGGTTCCTGGGCCCAACATCGCTCCATCAGCAATACTAACTCTTCATTCAGTTGGGTCCGGTCAATGCTTGGCCGGAAATATGGCCGCTGACCATTTCGGACCTTTTGGACAATCTCTGAGGGTGATAAAGGCTTTGGATGAAGAATAGGGTCCCCCAGGTAGAGGAGTCTATGGGCAGTAGATTGACTCTCACCTTTGGGGCTGAGGTCCAGGCCCTCCAAGTAGAAAGGGCCACTGCGAAGTGCTATCTCCTGTAAGATGATCCCAAAGCTATAGACATCAGCCTTCTGCATGCCTGTGGTTGGCAGTGGGTTCCCACCGAGCAGTTCTGGGGCAGTCCACAGCTTCTCTGAAAAGAGGGAACAGGCAGGCCAGGTCCTCAAAAAGAGTATCCCCAAGCCCATAATGCTCCCCATATTACTGTCATTCCATCTCCCTCTCCCACCCTCCCTAGGTGGAAATGATCAAGGCCAGAGGAGAAATATAAAAGGAGGTTGTGGGGGAAGGCCTCACTGGCATAGAGGGCGTGGCTGTCATCGGGTTCAGCAGTTGAACGGAAGCTGGCCAGGCCATAGTCTGTGATTTTGAGCACAAAACGACTATCCACCACACAGTTGGAGGACTTGAGACTCCCATGGGATGCAATAATGCTGTTATGGAGAAAGGCCATGCCCTGCAGGATACAGATCAAGTAATGGATTTGGATTATATCTGGCTTAAGATACCCCCCTCTCCATGAGATGGGCATTAGCTAGCTGTCTAAAGATCTCTGGACCATAAAAACAACAAGCTACTTTTGGAAGGCATCCTTTACAGTAAGTTTCTACCCAAAGAAGCAGGCAGAATAGGAGAGTCATCCATTCTTGGTACCATAAACAGTATATTGGCACCATGGCACCAGGGACAGGAGAAATGTTTAAGGGGAGGGACAAGGGGAGGACTGGAAAGGGCAGTCAGTCTTCTGAGTAGTAAACAGAACTGTGAGGGTGAACTCCAAAAATGATATGTCTGACATCCATGATGGCCTCAACTATATGGCCACTACTTGGGAAGACATGGCTAGAGACCCAGGTATCAAGAGCACCTAGATGCACCAAGGAAGACTAGCCAGTTGTAAACTTTAACATATAGCCATGTGTAGGCAGGCGAGTCAGGATGGAGGAGGAAAGCCATCTACTGGAGAGGATGCTAGGCCAGAGAGAAAGTGGAAAAAATAGTAAATTAGTAAAGCCCTGGACAATGGACCAAAAGTGGGAGACAGCTGCCAAGC